TTCCAGTGAAATATATTTATGTTTGTGGTTGTAATGTGACAAAATATGGAAAAGTTCAAGGGGTATGAATACTTTTGCAAACCACTGTAACTGACTAGAGATTGAGCCTCCATTACAGAAAACTGCAAAAGTAACTAAATTATTTATACACTAGTTTTTTTGTTTGTTTGTTTTTTTCATTTGAGTTATGGATGTTTGTATATGCTTTTTTTAACAGTTAATAAATTTCTTTGTTGCTTTTCGCAGGTACTTTTGCCAACTATTAGATGGCCTTGAATATTTGCACAGCCAGGGAATTGTTCACAAAGATATTAAACCAGGAAATCTGCTGCTGACCACAGATGGATCACTTAAAATCTCCGACCTTGGAGTAGCAGAGGTAAACCCAGGACTGCTGTCATTACCATCAGATTTCACCAGGTCAAACCTGTAATATTCTGTCAATTAGAACCACATTTTTTTAAAACTTGTTTTTTTTTTCTTTTCATTAGAATTTTTTTTTCTCAAACAGAAATACTTTTAATACTTACTTTAATACTACTCTGTGCACTTTATTTTATTCTTTTTGTGGAAACCATTTATTTGCATTTATAATTGTTTTGCATAGAGGCTTTTGGTTTTAGCATTTCTTAATGAAAAATATGAAAAATACTAACCAAAGCTGATCAAACATATTTTCTCTGTCCAATATTTTCAGGCCCTTCATCCGTTTGCAGAGGACGACACGTGTCGCACCAGTCAGGGCTCGCCGGCCTTCCAGCCTCCAGAGATCGCCAACGGTCTGGACACCTTTTCGGGGTTTAAAGTGGACATTTGGTCTGCTGGAGTAACACTGTGAGTAACGCTCATCGCTGTCTTAATGCCATTCTTCACCTATAGGACAATGCTGACGATGTTCTCTTGTTTGTTGTTGTTTGATGGAGCAGCGGGCTGAAGGTTGCAGATGCCAGCAGAATAAACAAACTCGTGTTAAGGGCAGTGACGTGGGGGTAGAGATAGACTCATTAAATGTGGTGGTGGAAAAAATAGATGCTGTTAATGCTTATGATCATCTTAAATAACACTTCCCACCCACTTTGTGAGGTCCTTGACAAATGCAGGAGCTCCTTTAGCCAGAGATGGAGATTCTCCACAGAGAGACAGGAAGTCATTCCTGCTAGTAGGCATCAGACTGTTTAATGCCTCCTTCAACATGTCTGACACTCAGAATTAATAAATCACTGGTGTGCAATATTACAATGTGGGAAAAATAGATACAATCCCTGTATGTTTCTTTTTTATTGTTTCACATTTTCATCTTGACTTATTTTGTTCTTTCATGGGATTCCTGTTCTGTGTATTCTCAGACTGGCTGCAACAATGTTGATTTTAATAAAGTATTTTCTATTCTATTCTAATCTAGGTTGCTATTTTTGACCTGTTGCTTCTCTGCATTCAGATACAACATTACAACAAGTCTTTATCCGTTTGAGGGAGACAACATCTATAAGCTATTTGAGAACATTGGGAAAGGAGACTACACTATTCCCGAAGAATGCGGACCTCTCTTGTCTGACCTGCTGCAAGGTAAATGTTGCTCTCTGTAAGGTTTCTTCTTTGCCTAAAAGTAAACTGAAAGAATCTTCACTGAAAAGCAGCAAAAAGACTCAAACCAAAGTGAATCTTATTTGTTTACTGATCTTTAGAAGTGTGTGCGCTGTTCTCTGCAGAGAGGGCTCCATCTGGTGGAACTTCCATTCTTTCTTCTCATTTTGTTGCGTTCAATAGGTTCATACTGTAAAGACTAAAACACTATACTACTACAATTGTAACATTTTAATTGCTAATCTTTTAGTGTTAAGAAAAACGGCTCAGTTTAGAAACATACAACTGAGTATTTATCTTTAGAGGATTTCTTTTTCTTCTTTAAGGTTTGACTTTAAAACGTTGCCTGAAATGTAGTGGTGAATTCAGAGTACAATGCTGAACTAATCATGTAATTTTATACATTTTTTATAACAAGAAATGTGTTTAATTTATCATTAAGAAATGTCGCTCTCCAATTTCAAAATGATATTGAAAAGGTTTTCCATCAATATGTTATTTAGATTGCAGGGCGCAGGTTCTGTTGTTACTGAAAATGACATATTAAAGGGCACAACCTGAAAATGAAATTGCCCAGGCATCCAGTAAACATAATAAATCATCATGTCTGAAAGTTATGCTGTTCTGGGAGCATCCAGTAGGTGGTGCTCTGGCATCAAAAGTCATTTCTCAGCATGCGTGGCTTCCTCAGAACTGTAGAAATACCTTCAGCTGCTGACGTCATTTCATTGATCAGGAGCCAGCAACAGATTACTAAGCACCTCATACTCGAGCTGTGTTTTTGGCCAACATGAACACTGCATTTTTCCTACGAAGAAAATCAAGAATGTGTGTTTACTTGCTTCTAAATAAATGATTTGCTATTTAAAATAAAATCAATCGGTCTGTATAAAGTCTAAGAAGAATGTTGAGATGAATTTGTTTGCACATACTAATGTTAAATACTTAATGAAGGCTGCGTGCCCAAGAGGAATTTCAGTTCAGTTTTAGCTTACTTGAACAGTTTTGTCATAGTATTAAGCAGTGGTGAACAAAGTACTCAACTCTAGTACTTGAGTAAAAGTATTGATACTCTTGGTCAAATCTACTCCACTACAAGTAAAAGTTACTCAGTCAAAAATCTACTCAAGTAAAAGTACTGAAGTACTTACTTTTGAAAATACTTAAGTATTCAGAAGTACATGCATTTTAAAGTACTTAAGTACAAAGTAAAAGTACAAATTACATTTTTTTCTTTTCTTTTTCTTGTCACTTCAGTAGAAAACTAAACTAAATATTAGTTTATTTAGTTTATTTTTTCATCATCAGTGACTTTTTTTAAGTGAAGAGAAAATAGAGACAGAGAGAAAAACAGAGAGAGGGGTAATTAGAAAGACAGAAATAGCGATTAGAAGTATATTAAATATACACCAACAAAACACAGGACCACACACCCAACATCTGTCCGCTCACCTGAAAAATAAATGGATAAATACATAGAAGGCATATATAAATATATACACATACCCATACATATGTAAAGATATACATACATACATGCCTACATTCATAAATATTGTCAGTAAATACACACAGACATACACACTCAGTGACAGTCAGAAATGTAAGCTACGCATGTGATTGSTTACCTTTTGACGAACATAGCTTGTGACCAATTGCATTTCATGAAAAGAAAAACCGGAACAACGGATTTTTTTCTTTCTTTTTTTTTTCAGCGGATTATAAAGCTATGCTGATCTAAAAGTAACAAGTAACTACAAGCTTCCTAGAAATGTAGTGGAGTAAAAAGTACAATATTTGTCTTTGAAATGTAGTGGAGTAAAAGTAAAAAGTTCCCAAATAAATAACTACTCAAGTAAAGTATAGATACTCAAAAAATGTACTTAATTACAGTAATAAAGTAAAAGTACTTTGTTACTGCCCACCACTGGTATTAAGTGGTTTACAATAAACTGAAGTGAAACAAATTGCTGTTTTAAAACACGCTGGGCTTCTGTCCCGCATTTTAAGTGTGTGACGTCCGTCTTTGATGACGCAGCACCTGGGAGACCGGCAGTCCATAATTGCATGGTCTAAAATAAACCTGGCACTACAAAGGGTGTCCTTCAGCAGGCGCAGCACTACTATCAGCTCTGCGTTCTGCTTCTTTCTGCCTAGTGGATGGCAATTACATTACTGGGACCGGCTCTGCATCACTCCTGCCTTTTCACTCTGACTTTCTGCTTCCTGTGCAAATCCAGTCCACATTAAATAAAAGTACAGAGTATTCATGGATACTTCCTCACGCTACTCAGACTTACTACACAAGATGTTCAAAAATATTATTATGATTGGTGGACATTTTCTTTTACAGATTTTCAATATAATAGATAAAAGAATTGTGTGTGTGTTTCAGGAATGCTTGAGTACGACCCTTCAAAGAGGTTTTCCATACAAAACATAAGGCAACACAAGTGAGTGAACATCTGTCGTAGTAGATTTGCATGACCGTTTGAAAAATTTCGACCACGATCCAAATTTGCTCGTCAAAATGTCATCTCACTAACGTCCCCTCTGATTTCAAAACATTGCTAGCTGGGTGCGAAAGAAACACCCTCCATCTGAGCCCCCCGTACCCATCCCTGCCAGCGCAGAAAGCAGGGATCCATGGCGGAGTATGACAGTGGTTCCCTACCTGGAAGATTTACATGGCTACGCAGAGGATGATGACGACGAGCTCTACGACGGCGAGGATGAGATCATTTACACTCAGGACTTCACAGTGCCAGGTACTGACATTGGATTTGGTGTTATACTGTTATATTCAGAACTGTTGACACCCATGCAGTGTAGAAACTAGGGATGCACGATATATCGGCATTCACATTGGTATCGGCCGATATTGGCCATTTTTAGAATATCGGTATTGGTCCGAAACTGGGCCAATATTAACATCTGATATTTATTTCCCACTTTTTCGCTTTGTGTTTCTGTTTTGGGAGGGGAGATGGTTGGTTGAGCAGCATCTGTTTGATCATGTTAGTGATATTGATGCTGGTAGCCAGGAATAACTGAAGTAGGGAGTCATGTCAGAGGTCTGGTTGTTTATTTACCGTATCAAAAAAAGACCCAAGGGTGTTTGTGCGTATATGTATAATATAAAATGTGTGTTTGTGTGTAATATCGGTAAATATCAGTTAATAACAACAGCAATAATCATATCAGATATCGACACTGGCTGAAATTTTCATATCGGTGCATCCCTAGTAGGAACATAATCTAAAGCAACTGGTAACTTTTCTGGTGATAACATTTTAATTTGAAATTATATTAAAAGCTCTCCAGACAGGAAGCAAAATGTCTTCAACTTCAAAATATTTATTTTATAAATTTTATTTATTTATTATTTCAGAATTTGTTTGTTTGTTTGTTTTTATGTCCTGGATGAGTCTACACCAGCACATGTGTGAAAACTCTAACCTTCTGATGGCAGATGTTTGGATGATTTGATACCAACAAAATCTTTTAATGTTTAAATGCACATATTCACTAACTCTGTTTTTATCCTGTTTCCCTCTTGAATTCAAACCTTTTATCTGTTGCTAAGCAACAGACAGCATTAATAAATGCAGCAATCAGTGTTGGGTATCTAGAAATGGTGCTCCACATACAAACCGAATGAAGCTGCAGAATGTGAATGAAGTTAACTAAAAATAGTCCAGTTGAAAGGGTTTTGGTTTGGAACCATGAATGGTTTTCCATGCTTCCCTCACACACACACACACACACACACACACACACACACACACACACACACACACACACAAACCTCTGTCCCTCGTAGGAGGCTTCATATGAATGAAAGAAGAGCTGCCTGACCTGGTGTCACATCTCCCTGCTGCTAATGTTCACCTGACAGTTAGCTTGTAGTTCATGAAAGCAACATAATTGTCTCAGAGCTCCAATTATACATGCAGACATGAATCAAAACAAACATCTGTATTTTTGACCTGATAGTCTGATACTTAAAATACCAGAGCAGCACATCTGTGCTGATTTCTGTGTATTATCACTGACTCCTTTGTTCATAGAGTTACTTCACTTATGGTTAGAGAGCAACAGTTAACATTTGTGTCTTCAGTGTGTTTATGAATCTTTTTTGTGCATCTTTAGGGCAAGTGGCTGAAGAAGACCACGATCAAGGGAGCGCTGATCCCAGTCTAGCTGTAGCCAAGCCAGTTTGTGTGAACGGGACAGAAGGAGGGTCTCTAAACAGCAAAACCAAAGCTGAACGCAGGTCCTCCTCCTCGTCCAACCCCTCACGTAAAGGAGTCACCACAGCCAGCAAAATCCGCAAGCTCTCCACTTGCAAACAACAATGACAGCCTTCACCTTCTTCTCAAAGCAACAACCCACCTGGTGAGTGTGGCAGCACTTCAAACGCTCTTTATGAAAAACAGARACAAAATATTAGAAACTGTGCACTTAAATTTAGATGTAAGGAGGGAGACTGTAATCCAGATAAAGTGGAGGAGATGGAGGTGGGGTGTGTTGATATTCAGCTCGCAGTGCTCTGACTCACCACCGCTTCCCAGGAAAACACGTAGTCACAAAAACTACCTCTAGATGGCCTGTCAAACCTCTCTTCTGTGGGTTATCCTTGTTCATGTAAGCATGCATGTAGAAAATTTGAACTGTTTGTCCTCTTTCTTTTCAATTACCACCCACAGCAGCTCTTTCTGTCTCGCACACATACACTCCCGGTGCGAGCTTGTTTGGCATGGGTGCAGTGCAGATAGATGCAGTGTATTAATTTGTTCAGGGCGATGACTCATCCTGGATGAGATAAAGTAGGTTGTGGGATGGCTGTTTCTTTCTCACCCTGTGGGTTGAATCTTTCCGTTTTAACACCAGAAATTAGACTTTGTCTCTGTGTTATTTTTCCCCCCATTTCACCCATTTGTTATATTCTGTTTGTGTGTTACAGGTTATCTGTCCCCATCCTTCTGTATCAGGAGTCTGGTGACATTTATGGCCCCGCCCCCTCCCCCCGTGAACCTGCAGAGTCTGATTTGCAAGAGATCCAAGAGTAGGACAATATGAAATGCACCCCCATCCCCCGAGACTGAGGCACTTGCTGTGAAGATGGTGTTTATTTTTCTTCCAGTATTTTGGCTCCTTTCAACATTGTGTTACCCTGCTCAGTCATCTGGTTATCTGGTTCCCTCTTCCTCCTCCTCCTCCTCCTCCAATCTGTTATTCTCGTCAGGAGACCAAGTGTTGCACCGGACATTTCAGACACCCCTTCTCTGCCCCCCTCCACCCCCAGCTCCTGTTTCTCTGACTACCTTTGTTTTTAATTGAACCCTGACTGCAGTTTCTAATACACATTGTGATGTGTACAAAAAAAACTAAACAAAAAAAATTAAAGTGGAAAACAAAAACAAAACTTATGAATAATTCTATGTTTAAGCCTATTGTGGTATTACCAGCAACATAAAAACTGCATGCTGAAAGCTGAAAGAAAGTGAATAGAGTTTGGTTTGTGAAGAAACGGAAGTCAGACTAACTCTATTTAGGTTTTATTTTTCCAATGAATATATTTTTTTTAACTGTTATTTATAAAGAATGTGTCCCAAAGGGGCTGTTTTCTTAAATTATCTTTTTCTGGTTGAGTTTGAGTTCAGTATATCTTCAGTACGACTCAGCTGTTTTTATTTCATCGTCACAAGGTCATTATAATGCTGCATCATCTCTTTCTGATGCTTGCTACCATTTTGTAGACCGTACCGCTGCCACTCATTCGCAGGCAGTGGGTTCTGACAATTGCCCAATCTTTTTTTTTATTTTTTTGTGGGGGGGTGATGCTTTGTTGTGCCGATCACATCCGCAAGCCCTGCCCCGCTCTTACGCAGTCAGGCCCATCATGAGCTCCTCACTGGGAATAGATCAGAGAGCAGGTGAGTCACAACTGTGAGGGAGGGGCTTCTCACGTCAGCAAGGTCAGCACAGAGACTCTGCGTCCAACGAGAAGACAGGAGCGCAGCACGGTGGAGGACGGAGAGACGCCTGGTGTTAACAGGCTGAGGAACATTTCCGCACCCTGATTAGTATGTGAGGACACACTTCAGGTTTCTGTTCTTTTGTTAAAGATTGTGCCATTTTTGACAGTTTCATCCTGTGCTTCATGAGTCACAGCAGAGGTGGGGGGGGGGGAAGAGAAAAAAAAATCAAAAGGTGGAATAGGTTTTTTTTTTTGTTTTGTTTTGTTTTTGTTCCGGGACTTGCTGCAGTTGGTTCATCTGTCAAGGCTGTAGGCCATCCCAATTTTCCACACTACTTGTTTTACAATAAAGCAGAGGGTGYAACATGAATGAGAATAAAGCCATGGATTCTGTCTGAATGATGCACACAGCAGCACTCTGCAGTGGAGTTTTTATTCCTTTAAAAGCAAGCATGCTGGGCTGTACAATCGCAGCTTCTTCAGGTGATGACCTCATTCATTCAACAACAATCTGATATTTAAAAACTCCAAATAGTGCCCAGGTTAGAGCTGCAGTTTTTGTATCAACAACCTCACTGAAGTTACTGCTTCTCTGTAATAGAAGTTTATAATCATTGGTTGTATTGAAGAGAGGAAAAATGGTTAAAGTTGAGAGAAAAAGGCAAATAATTTAGGATATGATTTAATTAAAAGAAAAAAAGACAACCACAGAGTTGCCTGGGACTTTGGTTTTGCCAAGCACTCAAAAAAGAGATGTGTTGGATTTACTTAAAAAAATAATTGTAACTGCTTCCACTCAGCTGAATTTAGTAAAAGTAAGACATTAGTGTTAACTTTTATTCAATTCAATTGAGTGGAACCAGTTGAAATAATTATTTTAAGTAAATCCAGCACATCTGTTTTTTGAGTGTGAACACATAAACCAGTTCATGTAACCAGATTTTCATGGCCATGAAGAGTTCAGAAACACGGGCTATTTGGGTTTTAAAAAGAGATGCTTGAATCCCTCCAAAATTCTTTTTCAGACAAAAAATGTTTTGTTAAACGTAAACAATTTAATCTGTTTTTGACAAAACATTTTACCAAAGCAGAAAACCAATTATTTCCTACTCCTAATTTCAAAACGTTCTTTAAATTGTAAAGGAAAAAACTAAGTTTGTATTTTTAAAAGGCCTAGTGAGCATCCTACATTCTTTCTTTTCTTTGAGTCATTTTTGTGCTGCCCTGATAACATTTAAACTCTAGAAATCAGACATAATCAGGATCGAGTCACTTGTGCTCTAAGTCTTCTCCCACACCAAGGGTTTATTTAACATAGTAAAAAAAAACCAAGATATCAAGATACTTTTATTTGGTATTACAGAGTGAGTTTATGTGTTTCTGCTGGGAGCAGACGTTAGTTTAGTTGTTTTTTTTTACACGTCACAGCATCAACTCCTCACTGAGCCATCTGTCTCGAAGCCTCCGAGGCCTCAGTGTCAGTCACTTTAAGCATCATCTGTCAGTCTTCCCTCAGACAAAAGGTCCCAGCAACACAACACTTGAGCCCACGGAAGTTCCTGGATACCTCCTCTTTACTTAGGATGCGTAACAAGGACAGATGGGCTGATGTGAAAAATTAAAAACAAATATACGTGTACAAAACAAAAATATCACGCATTTCTACCTTGTTTTGATCACATCTTCTGCTTCGCATCTGATTTTATTTATATTCTCCGTTCCATGCTGGATGTGTTTTAATGTAAACATGTTCATCAATGTTTCTCACGTTATGTGCTGAATTCACACCAACGTTTACCCTCATGATGGCTGAGACAAGGACACTTGAGGAGTGATTTTAAAATAAAAGAAATGGGTGACAAACACCATGTTAAACTTCTTCCCATCAAAGTGCTCTTTAGTTTGAACTGTACGGTATTCATATATACATTGGACCTACAGTTACATGCTATGAATTCACAGATAAAATATTTTCTGCATCTTCATGGGATGAGCTCAGGTGAGCTTTTAGGATTTTCTTTAATAAATAAATGGGCATCACAGTGGCAGCTGAGGTGTGAATGGGGAGAAATGGGACCAGAGTTTAGTTCTGTCCTGTAAAATACATCTAACACTGTTCAACACAACTATATTTGAATTGTTTGGATTTATAGAGAACAGGTCCACAAAAAGAAGCTGACATGATTATGTTGGACTGAATCCAGGCGAGGCTGTGTGGGACACAGCGAGGACGCGTTCAGGCTCTGCCGGGTTCTCAGCGCTCCGAAGGCCGCCATAGAGCCTCTCCTCCACTGACGCCACCAGCTTGTCTGTCAGACTGCTCTCCACCTGCGGGGAAACCTCCAGCAGGACCCCTTGACTGCTGTTGTTGTTCCTGTTGTCGACTCTTGGATCCATGTGGCTTGTCTGCTCTGTCACAGTGCTCCCACATCGGCCCGTTGTGCTTTCTGAGTCCTTATTCGTGGAGCCGTGGCAGTCGTTGGCCTCCCCGCTCGACTCTGCAGAGCCGTGGCTGTTTTTCGTCGGGTCGGCGTCCTCTGCTCTCTCTCTAGCTGCTTCCTCGGAAGCGGCGACCTCGCTGGCTTCTTCGTCTGCGGCGCTCGCTATTCGTGAGAGGGTGCTGTGGTACCTGGTGTCCAGAGGGTAACCAGCGCTGTCGCCCCTCCTCAGCGGACAGAACCTCTGCCTCTCCAAAGACGGGGAGTACCTGCCCCCGGAGGCCGAGCCCGGGTCGCTGTATTGCTTGTGCCTTTGCCATTGCTTCCGCAGGTGAACTCTGGATCTGTGTCTGGAGCGCAGCGGGGAGTCCTGCTGATCGAAGCGAGGGTCGTGACGAAGGAACTCGTTAAACAGAGCGTCCGTCTTCTCGTCTATGCTGTAGTCGCGGCGACGGAGGCGGGGTCGATGAGGACTTCCAGGGGCCTGGGTTGGTTTCATGAGCGGAGACTGTGGTTCTGGCGCTTTCTGAGGATGGAGGGATTTCAGGAGTTGGTGCGGCTCTTGTAGGGTTTGAGTCTGTGATTTCTGCTCTGTGTCAGTGTTGTCTCCAATCTGGTCCTCCAGCTCCTCCTGAAACAGCCGGGCCTCCACGCTCTCGCACACCGTGCCTTTTCTTCCAGAGCTGGTGAAGAACAGTCTCCTCTCTGACGCCGTCTTCCCTCGCTGGGCTCCGGGAGCTCCAAACAACCGCATCTCTTCTGGGGCCCTGGAGGGTGCTTCTATGGAGGCGTAACCACTGTCCATTTGAAGCAGCTTCCTGTTTCCTCCTTCCGCCTCCCCTCCAACACCACCCCCCATCTCACTGTCACCACCAGATGCCCCTCTGGTTGCCCCCTCCTCCGCCTCGCCGTCTCCTTCCGGCTCATCGTCCAGGTCCTGTGACAAGCAGCTGTCCAGGCCGGAGCGAACCCCTGCCCCGCCAAAGGATGAGACACTGTCTGCGTCGCTGCGGATGGACTCCCGGTCCGTGCTGCTCTGGTCTGAGGAGGCGTACTGCTCCAAAGAGGCTCGCAAGCTCCAGATGTCCCTGTACAGCGAGGGAGGGGCCTCCGAGCTCTCCTGGCGAACCATGAAAGAAAGAGAGGAGCCAGAGTCGGTCCGTCGTCTGGCTTCAGCCCCGAGCACCACCTCTTCTCCATCTTCCACCTCTTTCGTTCGCCTCATGTCCGCCGTGCCGCCGTCTGTTTCTGCGTTGTCATTTTTTCTTAGCATGTCCTCGAACCTTTCCTGCGGAGCAGCCTCCTGCTCTGTCCCGAACAGGTCATCGTTTTCCACGGACTCCAGCTCGTCTCCCACCGCCTCTGCTCCCCGCACTTCTCCGAGCGTGGTGTCCTGTTCCAGTCCTGTTCCGTTGACCGTGGCCACCTCCTGCGTCGGAGCAGGTTCCTCGCTCCTGGTGCTGATGCTGCCGCCCGCCTCCACCACGGCCTCCGGTTTGAGCCTGCAACGATGGAGAGCTCACGGTTAGGAATCGACTCCCTAACTGATTTGTGTTGTGGTGTCATGATCAGAAAAATACCTTCTCAGAAACACTAAGGACGTGGATGCAGATGCAGGATGAGACAGAGACTCGGCCGAGAGGGACTGGAAGCCGCCGGTCTGGATGGGAGTATGTGGAAATGATTCAAAGGCATCATCTCGGTAGGGAGAAGAGTCCTCGTCGGTGTGGTCGGTGGTTTCACTCGCTGCTCTCTGTCTCTGAAAGGGTCTCCTCCTCGGGGATCCTAGCAACAATTCACACACCTTCAAATTTCACACATTTCATTTCATTCTGTTTTTTTAAGCTCCACACAAACCTTTAGTATCCAGACTAGCAGCTCGGTGACTGGTGTCAAACTTCCACTTTCTAAAATAAGGCCCAGCTCCCTCCAGGCTAGCGTGTCTCCGCAGTTTGGAGAAGAAGCACAGGACGGACGTCTGGCCCAGAGCTTGAATAGACTCTCCCCCCGAGCCCCTTTCGCTCTCAGACTCCCCCCTGTCCCCGAAAGCTTCCATCTGACAGGAGAGATGAAGGTGGGGGGGGGGGGGGGGCACATTATGGAAGGAGACGTGCAGAGATGAATGGAGGCAGTCTGAGTCAAACCCTCAGGGGACAGCATTTTGTCATTGTGTCAGTCAGCCGTGGTGATGATTGATGTCACGGAGCATCGGTGAGTTTCAGCCTCAGAGGAATGGAGGTGTTAGAGCTGAAGAAATTACTGGTGTGAATGTGGACAGTAAGTTGTTTTGGTACGACTAAAACTTACTTTTAGTTTTGTTGAAAATAAAAACTCAAAACTTTATTTTATTCAGAACATAAATATATAAACTTAGCACAAAAAGTTTGTGTTTGGTAGGTTATGTCTTAGTTGTAACAGTGCTCCTTGGCAATAAATCGTACTGAGCACCACATACAGCTCTACTGCTCATCTCACAAATGCATGTTCCTTACAAATGTGGCGCCATTTAAAAGTTAAAATACATGTACAGCGGGTAAAATAAGTATTGAACACGTCAACATTTTTCTCAGTAAATATATTACTAGAGGTGCTAAT